CCACTGAGCTAAATCCCCGGCCCAAAACTGGAATTTTAAAGGCTCTCAGATACCTGAGGTTGATGCTCCTGCTCCCCTATCTACTCTGATTTGTTCTACTGGAAGCCTGGGTTCTTCAGGATAATGGTAAAGTTGGAGAGACAGCTAGATTTCTGTGTCCCTGCAGGGGAAGGTGGGCGGGTAACTCAGTTGTAGTGTGGTAGAAGTAGAAGGTGCTGGGTGTAGCTTCTTGAAAAGTTCATTTAAAGAAAAGGCTGAGCTGCCTGCCTCACAAGCACAAGGACCCGAGTTTGATCCCTGGTAGCAAAAAAAATAAAAATAAATAAAGAAAAGGCTGAGTGAGCCAGAAAGTAGTTTGCCACTCTGTCTCCCTTCTTCCAGCCTGAAATGTGGATATGATGGAGGAAGCCAGCATCATCTGAGAACTTTGGGGCGACAAGTGTGAGGATGAAAGTCACAGGATAAGGCTGGCTGAGTAAGAGCATGACTCCATGGTGAATGCTCTTCTTTGGACTTCTGCATCTTATAATCAAATGAAATCCCCAGGCATAGTGGCACAGGCTTGTAATCTCAGCACTCGGGAGGCTGAGGCAGGAATGCCATGAGTTGGAGGCTAGCCTGGATTACATACTGAGTTCAAGGTCAGCCTGAGTTACATAGCAAGAACATGTCTCAAAAACAACAACTCTGAGACTGAAATAGTACAGAATTACAGAGCACTCATTATGTCCCTGTAACATTTTTTTTTTTGGTGCTGGGGATCGAACTTGGATCCTTCCGCTTGCGCAGCAGGCAGTGGAACCACTGAGCCAAATCCCCAGCCCCTCTCTATAACATTTTGAAAGGTTTTGTAGTATTTATCTTACTCATGAGGGGACTGAGGCCAAGAAAGTAATTTATCAAAGGATATACAGTGAGAAATTATTTCCAAACCATGTGACCTCTAAAATGATAACAGGGTGTGGTTGCACAGACCTGTAATCAAAGCACTGGGGAGGCTGAGGCAAGAGGATCACCTCGAGCTCAAGGCCAGTCTGAACTACATAGGAAGACCCTCTCAAAAGAACCCAAAATAGAGGCTGAGGGGATTTAGCTCAGTGGTTTTGTTGCCTGCTGCGCAAGCACAAGGACCCGAGTTCGATCCCCGATACCAAAAAAAAAAAAAAAAAAAAGAACTCAAAACAAACATGATGCCCCATGCCTGTAATTCCAGCACTCAGGCGGCTGAGGCAGGAGACCCCTGGGAGTTCGAGGCCAGCCTAGGCTACATAGTGGGTCCCAGGCCAGCCTGAGTGTGAGATCGGTGTCAAAAAACCAAAAACAAAATGAAAACAAAAAAGATACATTAAGTGAAAGAAAGTGCAGGAAAATGCATAGCTATGCTATTGTTGCGTTTTTAAACAAAAAGACCCATACAGGTAAAGCTATGAGCTCGAAAAGCACTGAAACTGGCTGAGACCCGAGTATCAGCCTTTGCCAGGTGTCACCAAAGCCAGAAAAAATGGGGTCAGTTTTCATGCAAGATCACTGAGGTCTTCTGAGGTTTGTACTACAAAAAAGACAGTAGGGGCTGGGGATTTACCTCAGTGGTTCTGCTGCCTGCCTCGCAAGAGCAAGGTCCTCAGTTCGATCCCTGGTTCAAAAAAAAAAAGATAGGGGCCGGGGATTTAGCTCAGTGGTTCCAGCACCTGCCTCAAAAAAAAAAAAGATGGCAACAAGTTTATAAATTCTGCGAATATTTAAACTATGACTTAAGAGCACAAACTCTTTTTGTTGTTGTTTTTTGAGACAGGTTCCTTGCTATACAGCCTCGTACTTGGCGTTCCTTCTGCCTCCGCCTTCCGACTGCTGGGATTATAAGCGTGCGCCCCCACGCAGAGCCTATGCTTTGATCTTTTTAACGACGCAAATGGTTCCCTGCAAGGGCTGCAGCACTGCCTGGTTTCGCTGCTGCAGAGACAAGGAAGCCTGTTCCTTCGCGGGAGGCAGCTGAGGTTGGAGGGCTTCCTCCCAGTGTCTCCGCGAGGGTCTCAGGGAACATCGCCTCGGGGCTCCGTAATCAGGTGCCACCAGCCCGCGCCGAGGCACCGCGGTCCCCCGCACCGCACAGGGGACAGGCCCTCGGATGGCAGTGACCTCGAGCGCCTCGCCTCGTGCCGCCGGCATCTTGGGACTCGGGCCGCCACCTTGAGGGACCATGCGACCTCCGCCGCGGCCGACCTCCGCCGCGGCCGTCTTTCCCGGGAATCTGCCCGCGAGCGCCGTACGCAAACCACCGCGCTCCCCCGGCAGGAAAACGTTTCGCTTTTCGTGCACACACAGAACCAGCTGCCATCTTCTACGGCAGACTCCTTCACTTCCGGAGCCGACCTCTTCTACTTCCGGATCCGACAGCCTGACGTCGGGTCGGATGTGCGAGCCAACATGTCGTCTCCTGCCCCCTGGGGGCGGTGCGGAGGTAGTGGTGCCGTTTTTGAACTCTGGGGGAGTCTGCTTCCGGGTCGACTTGGGCTCCCTTCGTAAGATGAATCTGAGCTTGTTCAGGGCTCAGGGGCCGGGACCTGGCACGGATGGGTGTGGCCTGGGTTGTGGGCGGGGGCGGGTGTGGAAATCCAGGCTTGTGGAGGAGGGCGTCCCAGGTGTCTTGTAATCCTTTTCATGACTAAGTGTGCTGGGTATTATTACTATTTACAGAGAAGGAAACTGAAGCTCGATGAGAGGCCTCTGCCGTACAATGAGATAAACATTGCTCTGGGGATCACTGTGAGGCTGGAACGCTTGTTCGGTGGCCCTACTGCGTCCTTGGTGTTGTCTGTCTTGATAATGGTCCTCTGGGCTTACACAGAGTTCTTTCCTCACCCGAGGACTCTGAGGTGGGCAGCCGTAGCTTCTCCTTTGACAAATAGGGACAGTGAGAAAAGCCCAAGTGAGGTGCCTGAGCAGCAATACCCGGGGTGTGTGGCCTCGACTGTCACACGTCATCTCTGGTGACCAGACCTTGTGGGAAGTGGCCTTGGTTTCCAGAAGTTGTGAGAAATGGCCCATTCATCAAGGTGCTTGCGTCCCTGTCGGAGAGGGAAGAAAGGGTCTGGGGAGAGGAGAACCAGGGCTCAGACGGCACTAGAGGGTGGAGGAGCAAGGCGAGGAACAGCGTTTTTGTCCGGTCTGCACTACAGGAGAAGAAATGATTTCCGGCTTGGGGATGGGAAGCGGAGATGATAGTAATAACAGGGTGTAGTTGCCACTCGGACCCTTAGGTGTTAATTCATTCCAGTCCCTTCTTGCTGAATGTCTGTTACTGACCTGCAAAACTCTAGTACTAGGATCCTTGGCCTGGCCACCGAGCTGGGCTGTTCGGAGAGAAGTGGCTTCCTGGGCCATCATTTGGTGTGGCTCTTGACAAGACATTGTGGTGAGGCTGGGGAACCTGGCTGTCCTACCTCCCGGGAGGGACGCTTCTACCTTAGCAGCACCTGTGCCTGTAAATTTGTCATTATGGAATTAATCCTTTGCACCCATCCTTGATTCCGACTTCAGCCCCACAGGTAGACTCCCTTGCTGTACTCTGGATGAGTTTGATTGTGCTCCCACTGTTGGGAGCTTGGTCCTCAGTGTGGCGTGGTAGAAAGCTGTACACCTTTAATCAGTACACCTCCCCTAGTGGGAGGCTGTCGGTCTTGGACAAGGCGGCTGCTCTCTAGGCCAAAAGGCTCTCTGAGGCCAGGGGCTCACAGGAGCTAAAGGAAGTTGGCAGGTCTGCTAAACAAAGATCTCAGGAGTCGAGCAATCTCTGGAATGCAATAGTTTATTCAGAATTTATCACATTCACAGAATGGAGGGGAGCTCACCCAAGGCATAAGCTGGAAGCCAGAGGTGGCACTGACGGTGCAGCAGGGGATCCAAGCAGGGCGTTCTGGACAAGCAGAGTGGAATGGAAGGTTGTAGAGCTGGAGCGGCAGCTCTGCTAAGAGCACTACCTGGGGCAGAGTCCACAAGTGTGGAGCCAGAAGACCCAGTGGAAGAGCAGCCGGAGGCTTTGTCTTTGTGCTGTGGGGAATTTGATATAAACAAAATGTGCTAATCCTATGGTGGTAAAAATGTATTTTTCTTTATGTCACATGTCATCTCCGGTGACCAGACCGTGCCGGGAAGTGGGCCCTGATTTCCAGAGGTTGTGAGAAATGGCCCAGTCCTCAAGGTGCTTATATTTTTATAAGTTTCTTGAAAGGGTTTGCAAGATAAGTTTTTTGGGCACATAGGTCCTAAGGTTACACAAGCTAGTTTAGACTCAGAAAGTAAATTTAGAATCAGAAACATAAGGTGGCTTCTGTCCTGCTCACACCAGAGCCCCTCCAAAAGAACTCAGTGACTTCAGGTTCCTTGTTTCCTATTTCAAAATGTGATCTCTTCCTTCCTCGAGCTGAGATGCTGCAAGCATCTTGACCTTAAGCCTCCAGAACTGTGGGCTAAACAAAAACTTTATAAAATCAACCTACCTTACGTATTTTGTTATAGTTATGAAAAACTGGCTAACAGCCCCCATGTGCATAGACATAAGTGCAAAGATTCATCTATGGTGGTCTGATAACTTAATTGCTCATCAGAAGGTGACAGTTTGGTTTAAAAAGTACGCATCTGTGTAATGGTAGTACCATGCAGCCTCTAAAAGGATTGAGGCAGTGTGGTTATGCAATAAGTTCTAAGATTTATCACGCACAACAAAAGTGTTAGGTTATAAATAACAAAATAACCTTGTATAGTAGCTTGAGCAGACAAAGGCTATATCTCATGTAATAAGTTATCCACAAGAGATCTGAGGCTTGCATGGGGCATGGTATACCATCAGGGATATAGATTCTTTTCATTTAAATCAATTCTTTTCCTGATTTGTTAATTTTCTGTTTCTTCCCTTCTATTAGTCCATGTTTGCAGTACATAAAGATTACATTCCTTGTGGGGAGTTGGTCCGTGGACATCACACATTTTCATTGCTTTTTTTTTTATCCCTTTCTTTCCCCTTCCTCCCCTGACCCTTTCCTTTTTAAAAATTTAAAAACTTAGGGCCAGGGATTTAGCTCAGTGGTTCTGCCGCCTGCTTCACAAGCGCAAGGACCTGAGTTCAATCCCCGGTACTCCCCCCAACCCCCCCCCCCACAAAAAATTTAAAAACTTGCCGGGGATTTAGCTCAGTGGTGCCACCACCTGCCTTGCAAAAGCAGGGTCCTGAGTTTGATCCT